ACTCATGCTACCATGGTGCCAAAGAAGTTCAGCCGCACAACGCACCGGTACCTCGAGGCAAACGGGTCATTCTCACCACATATGTGGATGCGAACCTCTATCACGATCTCATCAGTGGCCGGTCAGTTACCGGAGTCCTACACCTAGCGAACAAGACTCCCATCGACTGGTTCAGCAAGCTACAGTCAACAGTCGAGACCGCAACGTTCGGATCTGAGTATGTTGCAGCCCGTACCGCCACTGAACAGATCATTGACCTACGGAGCACGTTCAGGTACCTAGGAGTACTGGTCGACACACCGACCATGATGTTCGGAGACAACGAGACGGTAGTCAACACCGCCTCGATGCCACACTCAAAGATTCTCAAAAGACACAATGCGCTTTCCTACCACCGTACTAGGGAAGCCGTTGCTGCAAGTATCTTGAGATTTCATCATATCCCTGGATCTACTAACCCTGCAGATATCCTCAGCAAACACTGGGACTATACATCGGTATGGCCTATGCTGAATGCACTGCTGTTTTGGTCAGGAGATACCAAGGATTGCGGTAAGAAACACTCAGAGTCGACAGTCGCCACTGAGGGGAGTGAAAGCGTTACAGTTCCTCCCACGACTCAGAGTATCCGTGAGTAGATTGAGTCATGTTTTATGAGTCAACACGATGGAACAGAGAACGCTGGCAAGAACACGTTCTCAACGAAACCAAAGGACACGGTAAATTGGAGTATTCGACAGGAGTAAAGCATCCTGCCAACGAACCGTTTCCCGCAGATACCACGTTGACTTCCGTATCAACTACCACGATGTATTGATCCAACACGCTACAACTAGCTTTACTGATCGCATCAATCAAAGCTCACAGCACAGATTATGAATTACTAAGAAGCGAACTTTGCATTTACCTTGCACTCGTCTTGAATAGTTGCAGTTGATCTCGTCGGGTGGTAGCTACCTCTACAAGATCCCTCTATTCAAGTAGTATTTCCCCACGTTAGCAGATGGTGATCCAAGCGATTGAGTGCCCTCCCATGGCATTTCCAGTCGATATCTTCAAATGTGTCGCTGTCCCACTCATGTTTATTCATGAGAAACTGTTTGTGTTGAGGCACCGATCCTGCCAGTTTGAGTTCGTGTTTCAGATTGTGTGTGATGGTTCCACCTGGAAGATTGAGCTGACACCCACTCGTTGGAAGAATTGGGACTTGTGTGTGGTCGAAGTTTGGGTGGTCCACCAACCATTGGTTGGCTAGGCCGTCGGCGTCGACATTGAGTTGGGCTTCCAGCGTTAATTCATCATATGGTTTCTCATCGTCCTGATGGCCTTTGATGTGTTTGATTTTAGGGATGGAAGTGGCCGGTTGGATTTGTTGTAGAGTTTGTCGAATTTCGGCGATAATGTCCCACTCAGCGGATAAGGTACTGTTTGGAAAGATCCTGTTGAATTTGGAGTATTTCACTGTGACCTCAACCATTGATTTGTTATCACAGAAGCAGCCATGCCTGTGGATTGGTATGTCTGTGGAGTGAATCGTGGTCATGTGGTGGAGGAATCGAAAACCGGACAACATCCCGTATCCTTCGGCTCGGTATGAGTTCAGTTGGTAACCAAATGCCGGACCGTTGCACTGAGCCAAGCGGGTACCTTGGGGTCACTGAGGATCCACCCAAAAGATCCCTTACCATCGGGAGCTGACCCATCACAGGCCAGAATGCAAGCTTTCGTAGCAAGAGCTGTCCAAACCTCAGTTTCGGGAACCAGAAAGTGTAAGTCCCGGAGTAAATGCTGTTCCCAGGCGTCAAAGTAGGAATGAGTGTGTTGTTGATGTGTGTGTTTCTGGCTGCTTTGCTGTATGACATTCTCATACCCCGTCATTTGAAGTGTATAGGGTCTCACTTTGTAATCACACGGGGCCGCAGTTTCAGGTGGAGTGTTGACAATGCCAGAAGGTGTCTGGTCGAAATCGTATCGGATGCTCTGATGCATGGTCCATCCCTCGGGAGTGTGACAATACATGTGATCGGAGATTTCCGTGTCGGATCCAGGGTCGTACAAGGCAGGCCATCGTCGTCGGAGTTGCGTTGCGGGGAGTAGCCAGGTGGTAAGGTGGTGTTCGGTTTTGAGATATTTCTTCTTCCTGGACGACGTGTAACAGAAGTAACCCAGTGCCCGTCTCCATGCTTTCCAGGCTGTCTCGTTTGGTTTGGCTTGCTTTACCGAAGTGGTTGCAGGTGCTGAAGGTTTTGTCGAAATCTCCAGAGTACATGGCAGGGTCAATGGTGTCACCGGCCGCATTACAAATATCCGAGAGAAAAAACACATTGAGGTACATGCGACAGTAATTGATGCGACGGATTTCGCATGGCTCAAAATAAGCTTTGCCTGTGTTCTTGCCGCTGGTGTGGGTAGCTTGTACCACTACTGACATGATTGCTTTATCATTGGTTCTTTGTGCCTTAGGAACGTAGGGGTTCTTAATTCTAGATTTCCGTCAATGGATCCCAAAAACTCTTGAAGGGATTGAAGCCACTTGGATTCGAGGTGATGAGTCAATGGAATCTGGGGGTTCCCAGAACAGACCAACTCACACCTGCACAGAACTGCAACCATGCCACGGTGATGTGAAGGAGTTTTCCCTGAGGACTGTTTGGGGAGCGCCAGCTTTTGATGAATTGGCGGCATTGGCCGTACCCCTGATCGTCATACAAATGAAAGAGACCGGCACCGCCCATGTATTTTGGCCATGCAGAATTGCTTTTGGGGTGTTTGGGTTAAAACCCATTTTGGACGTGAAGGCCCGTTCGACTTTTCTTTGGGCTTTGTTTACTTTTCTTTGGGCTTTGTTTAGTTCATCGAAGGTAAAATAGGCCATTGGAAGGGGATAGGAGACACTGGGCGGTAGATGGTCCAATATAGCAGGTGAGCTTCCTTCGGAGAAAGGTGGCTCGTTTTGACAATGCGGCAAAATTCCTTGCACTTTTGGCAGTGATATCTAACTGGGTCTTTTTGTCAGCCGGACATTCGTAGCATCCCAGATACCTTGTGGCTTTGGTGTTGGCCCATTGCTTGATTGTGTGCCTTCATCGTCGGAGTCAGCATCATTTTCGTGGAGTTGGAGGTCTGGTAGATCAGGTTTGTCAACAAGAATCGGTTTGCCGTCATTTTCAAAGATGAATTCCATGGCATGAAAGCCACACTTGGTAAGTTCTAATTTCTGATTGCAGGTGAGAAGAGGTTGTTCCAGAGCTGACTATCAGCTTGTGCCTGTGCTATCAGAGTTTCCATTGGTGTTGTGGGTCTTGTCCAAACGGTTGGTGGAGTTCCGGGTGTCGTCTACGAAGCCGACGATCTTGATTGTTGTTGTTAGAAGCTTGTCCGGGCTCACGTATGTTGCCCCTTGTGCTTTGTTTTCGTAGATATCGAAAAGGGTACTGCAAATAAACAGCCAGTATGTGGGTGAGTTTCCACTCCCTTGACCTGTGCCAAACCAAGGGTAAGCCTGACTGTGTTGGACGAATTCTTCTGAGACACCAAGCTGCGTTTTCAAATGATACCGAGCTTCTGCTAACGTCTTCCCTTGTACCACACACACCTTGCGGTGCATACCATATTTTCGACTTGCAACATTGGCCAGAAAACAGGGAATACGGTCATAGCAAGAACTGGCGTCATTGTCGAAGTGGAGTAAGTTACATCTTGTCAATCGAGTCAATTCATATTCCAACTCGCGGATAAACACTGCATCCAGAGCTTCCTTTCCAGGCTGGGATCCGAACTGGTGTTCGTTGACGTATCCGTTGTTGCAAGCATGGTGAAGAACTGCCCGCCATTTAACACTCAAGAGCAGATTGTAATCGGCTTCCATTAAATGGATGACTCGCAGCCGATGGATTTTGGGGCAGCCGGGGTTCTTCTCGAGCATGGCATTGACGATGGTTTTCCAAGAATCGAAACTGAAACCAAATTGGAGACAATAGTTGAGAAGAGCAAGGTGACCATTGAGGATGGAGTCCCTCTTATCCTTCAATGCATCAGCCTCAGGTGTGTTGTCTTCGTATGAATGTTTTGCTGTGTATGCTTTGAGATGCCCTAGGTGCATGTTGCTGCCTGGGGATGTGCTCGTCCTCTCATTCCAGACTTTGATTTTGCCCAGATAATCTTCCTTGCTGATTGTGGGGGAAATGAAATCCTTGTCCGACACATATTGCAGAGCTTCCAGGAATATCTTGGTAAGTTCGTCAAGATCGTCGGTGGGGAGATCCCAAGTAGGTACCAGCTTGCCGACATAGCAACCAAGCCTCAACCATTGGAGCTTTTTGAGTCTCAACACGAGAGTATTATGCAATGGGAGGCTGAATACCTGTCGAAGGAGCAACTGTTGCAGCCCACGAAGCATCTGAGGGCGTGTGAGATTGTGAGGGATCATGAGATCCTCAACAACCTGGAAGATCAGCCTGTGACATTGTGAGAGATCATGAGATCCTCAACAATCTGGAACGTCAGCATGCTTCAGACCCTGACAGGAGTCCTGCTGCCTCAACTGAAAGCAATTGAAATAAGCAATGACAACAGTTGAGTTGTCAGTAGTGTAATGAGTATTCTAAGCACACAATGTAGCAAAAACCCTCACGCTTCCTCTGCGCATGCTGCATGCTTCGAGCAACTCTTTGATACTTACTGTCGTGTACCAAAGAGCACCTCGCAAGCCTATCGAGCAACTCCTCCGCTGACTTGTGAGTTAGTCCAGGAGCTGCTCCATACCCTTTACCCAGTGACTATAGTCACCAACTCCTCACAATCTGTTGATCGAGGAGTTCACCAGTATCAAAGAAGCCACCCAAGATTTCTGATTCAGAAGAGTCTCAACAGCTTCCTGATAGGGAACAAAGAGTCATCAGAAGAGCTGAGCAGATCAACAAGTGGCAAGACAACTGCAAAGAACAAGAGACCAAATTGAACGAAGGAGGCAACATGATCTAGCCAGACAAATCCAAGTGATGGACGCGGCACAAATCACGCAGTTGGTCACGGCCGCAGTGGCAGCAGCCCTGCAGGATCAAGCCGTATTGACGGCAATCCGTGGACCGGCGCAACCAGGGCCACCGGCAGCCGCATTTGCAGTCACTCCAGCAGGCACCGGCAACGCGGCCTGGGACTTCACCTCCGGTACTGGTCTCAAGATCTTCATTGTGGCGACATCCCCCTTTACCCCGCAGTACGACGGAAAGGAAGCCACATTGAGAGACTTCCTTCGCAAAGTCCGAAATCGTGCAGAAGCTTTCGGTTGGACTGGCATTCTCATGGTGATCGACGCCAACGGCACACCCAGGAACATTACGTTGGAATACGGGTGCCTGACTCTAGCTCGGGTCAAGGAACACACGATAGGCAGAACAATTGCGAGCATCAAGCGTCAGCGTGCCTACGACAACTGATCATTGGTTTGATCACGTCTGGTCTAGCCGACAAACTTGCCAGTCGCAAAGCCAATTTCACCGTTAACGCTGCAGCAGCAGCACAGGGAGGCCAGCCAGCTCCAGCTCCAGTGTTCAAAGAAGACGGAACGTGCATGCTGTTCGACATCATCAGAGTCGTGTCTGTTGAGACCAAAGCCACCTTAGCGCTCATCGTGAAGAAGCTGGCGAACCTCGAGGTCCTTATGGAAGAGTGCAAGTCTGATATCGGAATCTTCAACGACAGAGTTGACGATCTTGTCAACCAGCTCAGGGCGCACAACATCCAGGTGCCGTCAATGATCAACCCACTCTTCGATGGATATAGCAATTGTGCCGGTAAGACCTTCACGACGTACATCTCGCGCAAGCAAGAAGCCTACGAGGACGGTACACTTGAGATTGAGTACCCTGCTCTGATGTCGACCGCGTTGGAAAAGTACAAAGTCTTGAAAGACAGGAGGATGTGGCTGAAGAAGACCGATGAGGAACTCGAGATCCTCACTCTGAAGGCAGAGATGGTCAAGCTCAAGTCAGGACCATCCAAGGGCACTGCCAGGGCACCGACCGACGGCAAGAAGAGCGACAAGCCCAGTGATTATGCCGAGAAGAATGCATGGAAGCTGATTCCTCCCAAGGAAGGAGAATCTCATAGCAAGACCATGAATGGCAAGAAGTACATCTACTGCCCTTACCACCATACGACCAAGTGGGTCCTCGAAGGCAACAACAAAGGAGTCGTTCACAAGACCGGTTGCGAGAAGATGAAGGAAGCATTGGCTATGGCCAAGGCTACTGACAAGCCCAGTGGTGCAACCGAACCAGATCCAGCGGCTGCCGCCCTTGCCAACGCGATCGAGGACGTCAGAACCGACACTCTTCTACCGGTCGTCACCGAAGAGCTTTGATGGTGGCGGAGTGGAGGATCTCTGTTGTTCCCAGTCAGAGCGTACTGTAATCACTTTAGTGACCAACTTTCTGTTACCTGTGTCCTTCAGCCTCTACTCTTAGCCGTAGCACTAGCCAACGCCCTAGCGACGGCAGTGACCTGGAAGAGGGGACTCAAGGTGTTAGCCACGAGAGCAGAAAGAGCATTTGATGACGCAGCCGAAGAGGCACATCTTACGCAGATGTTGCTCCTGTTAGCTGCTGAGAATATGTCCGGAGTATTGGAATGGTTTAGGGCGCTGTACAGTCAGCCCATATCATTTCTTCTCTTCGCGATGCTGTACGAAGAGCCCACGCAACTGTTGTTGAGATCAGTCGCTTACGCGACGATAACTTTTAGGAGCGAGAGCTCTGGATCCCGTCAGAGATAGCTCCAACAGCTATGCTGGCCTACAGCTCCAGCATGCACAGTTGGCTTATCTCCAGCAAAGCAGCAAGAAAGGATCGTCCTTTCTACCATAGTTAAGAAAATAGTACGAAAGATTGAGACCGATCCTGATTAGCTTGTAGCCCCTTTGATACCGCAGCAGTTGATACCCATCCTGTTGAGGCCGGGCAGAAGCAGTAGGAGGTAGCAGATAGTACTGTTCCCAGACTGCCACTGCACGATTGAATAACGAAGGCTCCCAGCTCCTGAGGAGAGCTGGCCCAAAAGGGTCCAGCAGAGAGCTCTGCTGGCCCTCCTGTCTGACTGACAGGGCCAAGTCCTTGGCTTGGTGCCTACTGAAGGTGTTGGAATACTCCTGAGGCACGACAAGGCTCCCTGAACTGCCTGACTACCGCTGTCCCTGAGGAAGGGTTTCAGCGAGATCCAGTCCACTACTTGAGTATTGGAACTGAACCTTCCAGAAACTTATTGGATTAACAGTTGCATAGATTTGCAGGCAGTTCTCTTAAAAGGGAAGAAGAGACCTCCTTGACGAGAAAAGGATCTCTTCGAATTACACTACAATATATTGGTCTACAGTTGATTTCATTGGAATTTGGTGCTGATTTCAAGCCCTACTTTTGAAGCCTTATCTCAACAACCTTCTGGTCAATTTTGATACTTCCAACACTCACCACAGTGACAGGAACCTTCTTGTTGGCCATCTACCATTCCAAATACAAGACCAACACCATTGCCATTGCCTTGAAAAAGGACCTAGATATCAACCAACTTGACAAGGACCTCATTGCCGATAGCGAGTTCCTGTTGACACGGAAAGCAGTCAATTCACGCGAAAGCAAGAAGAAGCACTGGTCCCGTTAACTACAGCTCTTGGAATCCCCGAGAGAACGAGAGACTTATTGATTTCGCACCTATCTTTTCAATCGATCAATCCTTTTACGAGGAAGTTCCTTGCAGCGAACCCGGCATATCTCTTTTGTACTCGGGCTTATCGCTTCGAACGAGTTGCGTGATTTATTACGTGCCCGAGACAATAAGCGTCGGGTGTCACGAGTTTCCGTCCTGCATTGGATTCACTTACCCACGGAACGTCTTGGAACGATTGGACCTTCTTTTTCGGAAGCCGCTCAGCCAATCAAAACGCCCGTGCAGGATTCGAACGTTCCGTGAAGTTTTGGTATACTTATACGACGTGCACTGAGTCAGTTTGCGAGTTCCTTTTCGATCCTGGATCCACGAAGACTTATACGGCAACGTTCCCCGTACCGAAAGCAGGCTCAGCCTCCGTAAACTGGAAGCGTTCTCACAATTTAAGGTGTTTACACCGTCGAGTCATTGAAATTCGCTCCGGATCGCTTCCTCTATACGGAGCACCGATTTGAGCAACTCGGAGAGGCTCGAGACCACCAAACGACCGTTTCGAAAGCCTGAAAGTGTTACCAGTGGATCCGCCACCCTTTGTTTAGTCAGTGGGTAACTCACCTTGGATTCTGGAAGCTTTTGTGGGGAGATTCATTGGACCCAAGTTGACTGGCTCCACAGTGGCAAAATCACCAAAACCAAGGCAATTCCCAGCACCAAGGCAATTCAGGAAACAGGTTCCAAAGCTTGTACACAGGCTACCTTATTCAATTACCACCAAATTGAATTTCTTAGGTGCCTAGCAAGGTCCCAAGAAGTCCCCTTTGTGGTTTCCCAGCAACAGTTGAGTCAGCTTTATTGTCCTACTACAAGAACCCAACAGCAGTGTTTCCCAAGCACAACAGGTACACCTCTTCCTTGGCAGGAAGAAAGCAACCATGTCACTCTACATACCCACCGTGACTCCTCCACCATCACGGAAGGCCTCAAAGGCTAGAGAACCAAGGAAACAGGCTAGCCCAAGAGCAACTAGCAACACTTCCCCTACCGGTACAACCCGGGAGGATACGGTTCAGGCCATCATGAAGAGTCTGGATGAGCAGCACACCTCTACCCCAGCCCTTGGCACCACCCTTGATACTCTCATTGAAGAGCGACAGTGGTGCATTCGTCAGCTGCTTGACAAGTCCCTTAGTCGAAACCTCGAGAAGATCAACGGAAAAGCAGCTGCCCTCAAGCAGAAAGCAGCCGCCTCCAGGACTAGGAGGCACAACCGGTACCACGCATCTCCCAAGCACGATTGTGGGGAGTTGCCTGGCACCAGTGTCAAGCTCACGCAGTGGCGACTGGCAGAGGCCCTCCTATGAATTCCAGTTAGGAACTCAGCTGGTAGGTGCACAAGAGCTGGGATGGAGAGCCCTGTTTGGTGGAGATCTCCTTCCACTGGCGCTGGAAGGGCCAGCCCAAGGCTGGCAGCCAATGCTATTCAATCACTGTGGAAGCAATGATTGAACAGTCTAATTGCTCAATACCCTGGCACTGCCATACAGGATCCTGTCTACTGCAGAGCTCTACTTGTGCTGTTGGGTCTGTCTCTCAGGTCAACTACTTCTTCATTACTTCTTTAAACTACTAATATAAACACAAACTCTGATTTTGCGTGAAACTCCATCCTCCAGCCATGCAGGATACAATCCATGCATCTCTTTTGGCTGGTATATACCAAGCTATCTTTCTAGATAGGTCATGGTGAGGAATTGCATCATCCTTCCTTGCAGAGGAACTCTATTCCTCTACAGCTGTTCCTATCTTGTCTGATGGTACACAGCTCATTGTACTGAAAGAGTGTACGATGCAGCAGCGATCTTTCCACCAGACTGAGCCAGCACAGCTGCGCCGCACCCATAATATGGCTGCTATGGCATAATCTCATCGCTCCCCACCATTGAGTCATGGATGGAGTGCCAACAAGCTTGCACATCATGGGGCTTCTCCTCATACTTCCATGAACTGGGAGCATCTGACTGCTCAGTGCGGACTTTGGTCGCATACCTCAGGGGTTACCAACCCCTATTGAATACATCAAGGTGTCCATTGCTGAGTACCACTGGGCACATTGGGAGGGGCATCACATGGGCTTGTGATCAAACCTCCAGTCGTGTTCAGGGGAGAAAGGGTGCATTGGCATTGGTCCATTTGACCGTCAATTGGGATCTCATCTGGTCTCCCCATACTTGCATCACAGCTCATTGGCTTAGGAGGTATCTGTCTATCTCCCCATAAGGGCCAGTGAGAACAATCTGGGCCATAACTGTTCATCTGGAGCCCTCAACTGGGTAGTTAGGTGACGGGTTGTCATCCTATGAGGTGGGACTGGTTGTCCTATCATCAGATATTGCCTCAGCTAAAGGCAACACCTCGTAGACGTCTCCTCAAGTTTACCATCTCCTACATGGGTTCAAAAGAATCCCGTCCAGAGACATGACTAACTTGGTGCTTGCTTGGGTATGACCCGTGCAGGTCCTGTCACATGACATGGAAGTGGCTCATCCCACAGCCATCAACTTGGGTGGGTGTTTGCTCTAGCCCGACTCTTTCACCTTTGCTGAGGGTGGCACAGTGTAAGTTCTCCCATCACCCGAAAGTGAAGGGAATGCCATCAGGGCGGGAGGGTGCGAGTCACCAAAACATGTTTTCACAAAAAGTTGTACTTGGAATACTATCCAGGAGATGACAAGTTTAGCACAAACACGTGTCATACTGGGCCATGTCCTGCGGAAGGTAGCCCCTATGAGTGTGGCATGCTACCCCGCAACCATGGCCGGTGCCTGGGTACTTTGGGCTCAACCAGTGCGACACCAACACTAGTTGCCCAGGCAAAAACCCGTCTTGGACTTGTCCTTGAGGGCTGCAGTCACCATATTGCCATCTGGAGAATCTAGGGCGTCCCCGACTGCTGGGTAAGCTTCGCTCTTCGGATCAAACAGGTCTGACATCTGGGTTCGACGGTGGCCTTCCATCAGGACTCTCTTGTCAGCGACAGAGAGCCTGTACCAATTCTGGCGTCCATTGCTGGCTAGCTGAGACCAGACGTTAGCGGAACGTGGATCTTTACACTGCTCCCCATCACCCTGATGTCTCGTCTTACCAATGTCGGCTATGTTGACTAGACGTGAGTCATCATCTCTTCGGTTTATGTCAAAGAATGTGGCGGCATTCAGTAGCACCCCCTTGTACCCGTCGTATGTAAACGATGCATTATTTCCCTCGCGACATACTCTATCATGTTCACGTGCAGAAATGTCGATCAAGGTGGGGACACCGGTGAAGGCCCGCTGTAAGAACAACTTCTGTATACCATCAGTGAGCATATCACTGGAGTCTCCTTGGACATCATTGTATCGGGTAACCACTGAGTCAAACTTGACAATGAAGTCCACTGCGGAACCTTGCTCCTCTTGGCTGTATTGCACACTAGTCAGCCATGTGGGTGTCTCCACATGATATCTCTCTCTT